TACATGTAGGCAGACAAACCTACTAACTCATGCCTACCTCACCTTTACTGGGAAGAGTTTGTATTCATTTACTTTTTTAATTTTACAGATGTTCTTTCCTTATTAATGGTGCTAATAATACTGTATACATGAAGTTTTATGTGCAGAAGAATATTTACGATATTGTCTCTGCATAGCTAAAATACCTAGTGTGAAAGCTAACTACTCCTGGGGATGGAGAAAATTTATATTCTCATTTATAAGATATGCACCATTCATTGGGGGATGATAGGATATACACTTCACCATGTGGAAGTGTCATCATAGCACCCTGTACACACAACACTAATTCATTTATCCTTTCCTGTAAAATTAATAAGTACCAAGTACCAAAGTTACTAACATACCTAGAGTCATGTACAGTATTATGTCATAATAGTTCACTTTAAAATTACTTGTTTTGGTCATAAACAAGTTACACGTTGAAAGCGTCAGGCTTTCAGATCAGTTGTGAATGTGTTCATATTTTGTATTATAAACATTTTGGTAATGCAATACTATTTGCAAAAACTGTTGATACCAAAGATAAAATTATATACTCTGCTTAATTCTTTGATATTTTACTGTTCTCTAGAGAATTTAGGCTTTAATGTTGTAGAATGTTGAGATATACCCTATGTAAAGCAGAGTTAGGAAGAATTGCTCAAGTATAAAGGAAGCATATTTAATCTAGTACAGTACATCTTAAAGTGCAAAACCCAGGCACCCTCAGAAAATAGGTGCATTGTTATCAATAAATTATTGATTATTCAAGAGAGGCTTTAGCATATAAATAATTAAGAAATACCAAGTGTTTTTACAATATCCATATTACAAGGCATTTGTTAATTCTATTCACATTGGTTATAAATTATAAAGACAGTATTACTATTTATCCATTATCCATTTTAGGAGGATTCTGGAAGAGTCTGCACATGCCACCTTGCTTTGAATGTGAGACAGTGTATTAAATAGGGGACTTTTAAGTTAATATTTTTATACATTGTCATATAGGAATCACTATTAAACTTGTGTGAATTTCAGTTTTAAAATGATTTTTCTTTATACCCTGTCCACTTGAGAGCTGTGCTTGAGTGTCCCTACCCAGTCTCTGGCTGGATGGCCTGTTGTGTGTATACAGTTCAGGGAGTGTGCACGTGGCTACCTCCCACCACGATAGCTTCATGCATGTATAAATACCTCATGATGAAAATAAACGACCTTCATATCAGTTATCTCGTGGTTACATCACAAAGCTGCTCGCTTCTTTTATCATGTTGCAATGGGGAAAAAATTATAGGTCAAAAACTGTTTGCGTAAAACATCTCATTCATGTACAGAAATTGAATAATTTATTTTTCATTGAGATTATAATGCAAAGAAACTGGTAAAGTCTTCCTCTAAAATTGGAGTGGCATATTTTACCATATCCCAGTAAACACTTCAAACTGACCATTCTTGAATTATTGTTAGCCTTTGTTGTTTTCAAACTTATTAGGTGTTTAACCCTTAAACGGCATAAGATACATATATGTATGTATGGATATGGAACACAGTTTCTCAAGCTTGATCAAACGCTTTCAAATATTTTGTGCATAAATATGCTCCAAATGCCAACTAGCAAATGCTCCAATTTCGTCTAAATGATCACCAAAATAACTTGAAAAACAAGATAATCAAAAATAATTATAAAATTAAATATTCAAAACTTCAGATTTTGAAATCAGCAAAAAAAATATAAAACATCACCAATTGTTCATGTAGTGTTGTTATGTTCTCAGAATAGCATATGATCTTCATTTTAAAATACTGAGTATTTAGAATATAGGTTTTCAGTATAGTTTACTGAAAAAAATCATCAATGTGGTATTTGAAAATATGCGCCAAATTTAGGAAAAAAAATTATAATTCCACAAACATTTATGCATTATGAAAAATCCATTCTAAAGAGATTGTAGAACAGACGGCTGTGCAAACTATATGTAAATATGGTGAGAATCAGTCAGAAACTAGATTTTTTTTTTTTGTGCTGATTACAGTTGAAACTCTAGTTTAGAGATAATTGAAGTTGAAGTTATCGACAATGAATAACGTAGTTCCAATTCATTAATTTTCTTGTATGTTTTAATAAACATTTGTTTAGTATTCGTACTCGAATATGTGAAAGCTGTAGGTCAATATGTGATGAAATGAAGTCAAGAAAAAATATAATATAATTATAATAATTATAATGATTTAGGGAATATATTTAGGGTATACTGTACTTTATATAAGTGAAAAAGCCCTAATCTGGTCCCTAATCATCAAAACAACCTAAAGAAAGAAAAGTTTGAAATCTGTGAAAAAATCAGCCAAATAAAATTCAAAGTTCCAAGTTCTGCCAGTTATAACCGATTTATTTGTTGACCAAATTCATTTTGTCTTCACATAGTTAGGAATGGGTATGCACTCTCCAGGATGTAAAGTTACAACAAAATCAGACAATAAACATCAGAGAAAAAAAAAATCGGACATTGATGAAAGTAACATATTAACATTGGGCAATGTACTTATATGATATATAAAAAAATAGAGCATAGCACTCATTACTACACAGAAATCACAATAGCGTGATGCATCAAATGAACAAATCCAAGGGCCATGACAAGGATTCGAACATATGTCCGAGAGCATCCCAGACGCTGCCTTAATCGACTGAGGTTCGACATGGTATAAGAATTGCAACCGGGAAATCATCTTGATTTATCGTGGTTGATAAATCAACCATGATGTCATGGTCATCATGGTTGCAATTCTTGTACCATGTCGTAGCTCAGTCGATTAAGACAGCGTCTGGGATGCTCTCAGACGTAGGTTCGAATCCTTGTCACAGCCCTTGTGGATTTGTTCATTTATACTCATTACAATTTGTGTTATTAAGTATTACTCAGCAATGCTATAAAGGCACCAGCTGCCTAACCACTTTGTGGACACTTCTTACTATTATTCTTCTTCTTTGTGCATCGGACAGGTGCTTGCATCTCTTTATTACAATACTGTACTGCATTATCCCTCGGTTCCAGTTAATAGAAGCTGTTCTCCTTATCAACAAAACATTCTTCTCTTTAAAAACAATCGTCTCAAAATCAATTTCCGAAAATATTTTGATGAAAGTTTCACAACACCAAAACCAATAAGTTGGAGATTTGTTTAACATTTTTAAGTAATTTTACATAATTCAAATATTTTTGGCTTCCCGGCCCTTATACTGTAGCAGTTTAAGAGTTGAGGCAAGCACCCTTTAAGGGTTAAGTGTAGGCAAGAGAAGACTAGTGAGTGTGCATTAGTATAGGCAAGGAAAAAAACCATGAGTGTGCATTAGTGTAGGCATGGAAAAAAGCATTAGTGTGCATTAATGGAAGCATGGAAAAACTTGTGAGAATGCATTAGTGTAAACATGGAAAGACTCAAGTGTCCGATTATTGCACACAGAAACACACAAGTTTCACACCAGGGGGGCCTGATAGGCCCATTTTGTTTCTGCCATCACCGGGGATCGAACCCAGACCCTAGGATTACGAGCACTCTGGACTCGTAATCCTAGGGTCCGGGTTCAATTCCCGGTGATGGCAGAAACAAAATGGGCCTAGTTTCTTTCACCCTGATGCCTCTGTTACCTAGCAGTAAATAGATACCTGGGAGTTAGACTGCTGTTATGGGCTGCTTCCTGGTGGTGTGTGTGGGGGAGGGGGGGGATAAAATAAATTGATTAGTCCAATTAACAGTTGATTGATTGACAGTTCAGAGGCGGGCCGAAAGAACAGAGCTCAACCCTCGTAAGCATAACTAGGTTAAGACAACTAGGTGAATACAAGTGTATACTTCCTATATGATCAACTTTGTTATCTACTTTTTGTTCTGAAGGGGGAGAGTGGGAATTATTTATATTTATTATTATTGTTGTTCCTTTACTATTAATAAATCTTAAATAACAATTTATAAACACCTCCAAAGAATAACTGATCAAATGGGCTGTAATTCATACGTCAAACTGTGAGTAAGAGTGTCTGACAGTCTTGATGACCAGACCACAGACTAGAAGGTGAAGGGATGATGACGTTTCGGTCCACCCTGGACCATTCTCCAGGGTTCACAATCCAGGGTTCATTCTCAAGTCACAATCGACTTGAGAATGGTCCAAAACAGACCGAAACGTCATCGTCCCTTCACCTTGTAGTGTGTGGTCTGGTCAACATACTTCAGCCACGTTATTGTGACTCCTCGTCTGCGTCTGACAGTCTTGTTAACCTGCAGCCTGGTCAGAGACCACGCTGCAGAGACACTGATACTCAGAACCACCTCAAGGCACTACCACTCATTTTGTTTAGTCACACAAAGCCTGGATGGTGACCATCTACACACACCATAGTAATTTTATTACGTACTATGAAGGGGGATTAATTAGAGCTCTCGGTTCCATTTTTTACCCACATGCCAAGAGGTAATAATACAGCAGTAGCGAGTGGAAGACGAGACCAGGCTACAACAACTGTAAATTAATTACATATATACTAAATAATGCTAGGCTTCGAAGATTATTAATATAAAGTAGAACTTACTTAAGAGTGGTATAGGGTACTGGGTCCAGCTGGCCCCTTTCCCCTCCCCCAATACATGCTCTAAATACTAGGCACACATTTGTATCAGCCAGATGTAAATTATGGTTTATAAAAAGTATGTACTGTATCTGACTACAAAACTTGTTCAGTCATCTACACTGCAATGTCCAATTAAAGATGCTGTTAGCAGATGGTTGGCAAAGTTATGTTTCCTTGAACATAACTTTTTCAAGGAAATATAACTTGTTTAAAACCTATATTGTAAGTTCATCCAAGTGTGCTCATGTTCTTATCTTAATTTGTAAATGAAGAATGTTAGACCAGTAAGTCAACAATGGCATTTTCACTATGAAATTATGTACAAAAATGGACAAAGAAAAACTCTTTAATTAAATAATTTAATTAGTAAGCAATTTGTACAATATGTAAGGGACTATAATTTATAAAACACATACTTGAAGCCCATAAATAATACAATTTTTTGTATTACAGTATTTATATTTTTATATTAACATTTAAAAATATACATGTATACTGCATTTTAATATTACAGCCTTGTACTGTACTAACCTTTCTCCTAAAAATCTATATTACAAGCTTAACAGAATGACAACTGTGAACAAATTGTCATGTCATACAAACTCTAGACTAGCCAAATCAGTACCACCTCACTGAAATTTGAATGTGTTATTCAAGAGTTATTGAAAAATATCTACACACGTTCTTACAGCTTTTTTAGTAGTATTTCAGCACCCTTAAATTTCAGAGTGGCAAGCTTGTCCTTAAGTGGAGAAATCAGTTGCTTTACTTTTGAGACAACTTCAGATATTTCCGTTTCAATCATATTAACCAGAAGAAAGCATCCTCGGTTAGAGTTTATCCAGCCTGCAATTTCCTCCTCTGCAGTTTTCAACAAGAGAGAGCTGAAGATTGGCTTATCTGCTGCTTGTCGCTCTTTATCACATTTAATAATATATGTAATCAGTTTAGTAGTATGTGCTACTTCTAAAACGTGACCTTCAGTGCCTGGGAAGTATGGTTCACCACATAATTCTGCTAATTTCTCAAAGATAGAGACAGTTTCAGGTGCCGACAATGTTCGCAATGCCGCACCAATGAAGAGTGTCCAATTTGGATTAACAGCCCAATATCTGATATTATCCAACAACAGTCGCAAGATGGGTACACTAATAGCAGCCTGCAACTCTCGCTGTCGAATATCTGTATCTTTCTTACTGGCAGCATTACCATCCCCTTGAGACAATATAGCCACTACACTAGGCTGGAAGAATATTGCACTACGAGGAGCCACCAGATACCTCAAAACTCTTAATCCATAATCAGAAGCAACAATTTGATCCAGCTCATCCATGAGCTCTGATATGACTACTTTTTTCATAAACTGAGTGTCGTCAACACAATCAAATGCAGCTAACAGTACCATATGGCCATGCTCCTCAGTGGCAATCTTGACAAAATGTGTTCGGAATGATTTCAGAATGGTCTTCCTGTCTTTTCCCGTGCCATGCCATAGGCATAGCATGGCTACTCGAGCTCCATCTCTTGTGTGTATAATTGGTGTCAATGATTCCTTTAGAGCTTCAATCACACCAGCACGATCTCCCACTGAACAGACCAGCATGAAATCCCGTAATAACGTGTGCACCATTGAATTTGTAAACACGCCTTTGTCGATAATAGGTTGCAAGGCACTAAAGAAATCTTTCAATATGAACTCTCTATTACTAGGATATTTCTTGATAGCATCGTCCAAACAATGTACATCTTCCTCGTGAAAAAGACGAAACTGAGGCCCAAAGAATTCCTGAACCATCATTGACCGTTGTGTTGCATTGGCATAGTCATTATATGCAAGCTCCACTACATCACTGGCAATTTTATTCTTCATTAATTTAACAACTTTTCCCTTCATAGCCTTAATAACCTCATCTCTCTGTGGCCTAGTACCATATCTTAGGACCTTCAACACAAAAAAACGAGAGTATACATTTTTACTGAGTTCTATTATATCTCCCTTGAGCTCCTCAAATATAAGTGTGCGATACTCTTCACCACCCACTGCCAAAAGTGTTTCTATAACTCTAACAGTATCATGAGCAAATATTAAAGACTTGACCTTACCACGCACCAGAGCCATCAACTGTTTGCACAGCTCCTGTCGGCGCTCTTGCTTACATTTACTTTGACGTAATTCCTCCCATATCTTCTTGGTATTAACTCCTAGCTCATACAAGTCGCTGCCACCATGACTCTTCTCCTTCCGCTTCATCTTCAGCTCCTTTTTCTCTAACTTCAGCTTTTTCCAATCGGTTTTTTCCTGTGGTGTTTGGCTTTCGAAATTTCGTTTGTTACCATGTTTTTCATACTTTCCGAAGGTCTTAGTGGATTTTTTCTGGTCAACTGCAAGAAAATACAAATAAAAATAAATGCAGAAGTTATAAATCAACAATATGATATTGATTTTGAGTTTTTGCTCAAAATACTACACAATGTACACAGCACACATTTGCTCCCTTGGAGGGAGCAAATTATTTATATATATATATATATATATATATATATATATATATATATATATATATATATATATATATATATATATATATATATATATATATGTCGTACCTAGTAGCCAGAACGCACTTGTAAGCCTACTATACAAGGCCCGATTTGCCTAATAAGGCAAGTTTTCCTGAATTAATATATTTTCTTTATTTTTTTTCTTATGAAATGATAAAGCTACCCATTTCATTATGTATGAGGTCAATTTTTTTTTATTCGAGTTAAAATTAACGTAGATATATGACCGAACCTAACCAACCCTACCTAACCTAACCTATCTTTATAGGTTAGGTTAGGTAGCCGAAAACGTTAGGTTAGGTTAGGTAGTCGAAAAACAATTAATTCATGAAAACTTGGCTTATTAGGCAAATCGGGCCCTGTATAGTAGGCTTACAAGTGCGTTCTGGCTACTAGGTACGATATATATATATATATATATACAGTATATATATATATATATATATATATATATATATATATATATATATATATATATATATATATATATATATATATATATGACCGAAAAAATAAGATTACCTGTAATAATTCTAACACGAATTTTCTCGATCTTTCTTACGTTTCTTTTCACTGTTGATGGTAATTAAAAAATCAATTCTACAAAATTAATTTTTATTTCTAGTCTGACGCGACACTTGAGCGCGTTTCATAAAACTTATTACATTTTCAAAGACTTTAGTTTACACACACACACACACAGCTTTAACTGAATAGAGCTTAAACATCTTCGAGTTTTTATACCTACATTTGGGTGAAGTGACATGTTACAATAGTTTTGGATGAGGTGAAAATAAACTTTTAACACAAGACAGGACACGAAACAATGGGTATTAAAGGATGGTAACTGCAGAAGGCCTAATTTTTATTGGCCCATATTTCTTGATGCTTCTATATTGGAGCGAAGTCTTGAAGTGGGTAGACTCAGAGTCCAATATAGACTCCGCTCCAATATAGAAGCATCAAGAAATATGGGCCAATATGTAGTGATAGACCACCAGTAAACTACTTATAGACGAGTAGACTGAAGAATGTGTGTGTGTGTTCGATATTAAAGCCAGACACAATTGGATTTCATCTCATATGTGACTAGTTTATGACAAGCACTACCTCAGAAACTTTGTATCGTCACTTAAAACGATTATATTGGCAATATTAGTCACAAGCATACCTCAGAAACCTTGTATCATCACCTAAAAAGATTATACTGGCAATATTAGAGTTGATTTGAAGCAGCGATTTCCAGCTGACACAGATGGGGCATCAAATCTGTGTGTACCTCATATCTCACTTAACACCTAGATGAAGAAAGATATTCCAATTTTGTTTCTTATCAAATGCACATTATTCCTTGCACTTGGCTTGTTCTCACGCATCTGGCGAATTACCCTCCAACATCGACTTCATGATATGAAGAGCTACAGCTAGTTCCGCAGAACTTCATTTAGGAGAAAGGGAGAAAAGATGCAGATCAGTGTAGCAATCACACTGACTTGGAATGCAGTGAAGAATCGTGCACCCTGATTATGCAATGCTTCATGTTAACTTGGGCTTCATTTCCAAGTATCTGCCTCTGGAGAAAGTGGACTTTAGCTATGAATTTTCTACACTTCTGGCCGTTAAGACAAAATAATGTTATACTGTAACCCAGGAAATGCTTCAAAGTGTTCGACAAAGATGCTATAACTTTTAGTGAGAGCTTGCAAAGAGCCTCCTATATTGCATTCCTAGTATTGCTGAAACGTTCAAAAAGTTGAAAAACTAGCCACTAGTAAATGCAGCCTTAGCCTATCATGGCCACCATTTTCAGAACTTGGATTGGTTTAGTTGACCATTCTATGCTTAGTGAAATTGAAAACCAGTGGCACCTACTGTCAACCACTGACTGATCCAACATTTGTGAGGGACAAATTCTAGCATCTGGATAGTAATTTTGGACCAGAGCAATAATAACTGTCAAGAACGCTGCTGGAGTGCCCATGCAGATCGACCTCACTTAGTTTGCATTTAAAATATAGAGCTTACCAATCAATAATGCCCTGGTTGAACAGGAATTTTCCAAAGTAACCATCTATGAAAACTAAACTGAGAAATCGAATGGGACAAGACCTTTCGACGTATGTTCATCAAGAAAACTGGACTTTTTGCATATCATTTGAACCACCTATATCTTTGTTATAATTTGATTCTGCAATAAACAAGAATGAAGTTGTGGATGCGGAAGAACTTCTCAATAATAATGATAAACACTGTTCAACTGTGAAGATGTGAAGGGACTCCACACCCATAATTGTGTGTTTCATGTGGCCAATATTGGTAAGTTATCATGTCCCAATTTTTCATTAAACACATGCAATGATAATATTAATAAAACCAATAAAATTGTGGAGTGTTACTCTATGTATTCAAATATATTACTGTACTTTGAAAACTGCATTAGTAACTAAATAAAATATTGGGCTACTTTTAGTCCTTCAGCTTGCTACTTTCGGCAATTCAAATTTGGCAACCCTGCCCAGGAGCCCGACCACTTCCCTTTAGATCGACTCCCCCAGAGCCCGACCACTCCGCGGGGAGCCCGACCACTCCCCCTGGAGCCCGACCACTCCGCCGGGAGCCCGACCACTCCGCCGGGAGCCCGACCACTCCGCCGGGAGCCCGACCACTCCGCCGGGAGCCCGACCACTCCGCCGGGAGCCCGACCACTCCGCCGGGAGCCCGACCACTCCCCCTGGAGCCCGACCACTCCCCCTGGAGCCCGACCACTCCCCCTGGAGCCCGACCACTCCCCCGGGAGCCCGACCACTCCCCCGGGAGCCCGACCACTCCCCCGGGAGCCCGACCACTCCCCCGGGAGCCCGACCACTCCCCCGGGAGCCCGACCACTCCCCCTGGAGCCCGACCACTTCGCCTGGAGCCCGACCACTCCGCCTGGAGCCCGACCACTCCGCCTGGAGCCCGACCACTCCGCCTGGAGCCCGACCACTCCCCTAGAGCCCGACCACTCCGCCTGGAGCCCGACCAATCCCCTAGAGCCCGACCACTCCGCCTGGAGCCCGACCAATCCCCTAGAGCCCGACCACTCCACCTGGAGCCCGACCACTCCACCTGGAGCCCGACCACTCCCCCGGAGCCCGACCAATCCCCCGGAGCCCGACCAATCCCCCGGAGCCCGACCAATCCCCCGGAGCCCGACCAATCCCCCTGGAGCCCGACCAATCCCCTGGAGCCCGACCAATCCATCTGGAGCCCGACCAATCCCCTAGAGCCTGACCACTCCACCTGGAGCCCGACCACTCCGCCTGGAGCCCGACCAATCCACCTGGAGCCCGACCAATCCCCTAGAGCCTGACCACTCCACCTGGAGCCCGACCACTCCGCCTGGAGCCCGACCAATCCCGTAGAGCCCGACCACTCTACCTGGAGCCCGACCACTCCACCTGGAGCCCGACCACTCCCCCGGAGCCCGACCACTCCCCCGGAGCCCGACCAATCCCCTGGAGCCCGACCAATCCCCTGGAGCCCGACCAATCCCCTGGAGCCTGACCTGAGATGCTGGGAGCTGCAGGATGCCTGAACGGCTCTTCACCTTCCTCAAAGTACTTGTGGCTGGCAGCCTGGTGTTCCTCATGTTTCATAGCCTGGAACTGACGGATCTCTTGGCTAACTTCTTCCTGGCCGGCCTTCATGTTACCCTTGCCCTTCATGGCGCCACTGGAGCTGATATTAAGTCCAACACTAACACGTTCCACATGACCCACATGGGCTTGTTATGCTTCCACATTCGATATTCTCACCGAGACATGTCCATCTATATGGTGCAAATGTTATATTTTAATAATAGTTTGTAAATAATTTTGCTTTGAATGCGATAAATAAATATTATTTTCTATCAATAATAAGAGCAAAACTGATTGAATAAATTTTCTGTGAAAATAAAAGCTATTTATGACGTCACATGTAAACGCGCGGAATTTGAATATTCCTGAGTGCACCCATCTCATCTCACTAGTTACTAAGCGCATCTCATCCCTCCATAGTTTTTGCCCCCTCAATCAACATTAACAACAAAAACTCTCTAGTTATCTCGACGAGGACAGGAAGCCGGTGGCTTGGCAAAGATACCCCATTTTTCCTGATGATTTTATTCATAAAAAAGGCAGACATCACTCGGTACCCCTACTTAAATCTCTGAATATGTTAGACATTAAGTCACTGCACATTCTCTCATGTGTATTATACATATATAAAACGCTAAACTATAATGCCAATCCTGATCTCAAAAGCTTCATAGAAGGTTGTATCAGAACCCATGAGCATCACACCAGAAATAAATACAGTTTTGATATTCCTAGAGTACGACTTAATCAAACTAGAAATGCTCTACAAATCAAGGGGCCCAGAATGTGGAATGACCTTCCCAACCATGTTAAAGACTGTACCTCTCTCAACCAGTTTAAGTTAAAAGCGAAGCTATACCTAATAAATTCCCTGTAACCTACCTTACCCTTCTATTGTCAACCAATGTCTGTTTTTTTTTTCTTTAAAGAGCGCTGTTTGTCGACATAATTGTATTTGTGCTGCTTTTTCATCTATGTTTTCATTTCTTGTTTTCATTCTACTCATTATGCTCAATTAGTATTAAGCTTGTCATTTAAGTTTATCATGCCCGAAACGCTTTGCGTAATAGTGGCTTTAGGCATTGTATGTACTAGCTATACCTATAAGTCAAACAATCCTTGTAAATATTTATTGTATGTATGTACCTTACCTAAATAAAATTGTATTGTATTGTATTGTATTGTATAAGGACCGAAAAGTCGTCGTTTCTTTCACTTTCTGATATGTGGTTTGGTCATCATATCTTCAGCCACGTTATTGTCACTCATCGTCTGCATAGCATAAACATATCAATTATGACACCACATATAATAATAATGATAATTAGTAATGGTAATATCTTCTCACAGACATGATCTTGAGAGCTTGAGGTTATCTTGGGATGATTTCGGGGCTTTAGTGTCCCCGCGGCCCGGTCCTCGACCAGGCTTCTACCCCCAGGAAGTAGCCCGTGACAGCTGACTGACAACTAACTCCCAGGTACCTATTTACTGCTTGGTAACAGGGGCATCAGGGTGAAAGAAACTTTGCCCATCGTTTCTCGCCGGCGCCCGGGATAGAACCCGGAACCACAGGATCACGCGTCCAGTGTTCTGTCCGCTCAGCCACCGGCTCCCCCTGATGATAACATAGGATAAAAACCTACACTTGTGTATTTGTGAAATTTATGTAAGTTCAAGTTCAAGTAAGTTTACTGAAGGGAAGGGCACTATCAAGAGAAAGCGCCAAGCCATTACGACCATATAGCACTTGGAGGGGATTATGATAAGGCCGGGTTTGGGATGGGACGGTGGAAAGGAATGATGTCCAACCACTTGGACTGTCTGGGATTGAACGCCGACCCACATATATGAAGCGAGACCGCCGCTCTACCGTCCGGCCTAAGTGGTTGGACACTGAGAAAAAGGAAGGACATTTCAAAAGGATAGAGTAACTTAGGCTATTTCTACCCTTGTCTACATAAGGTCCCTCAAAGGGGCTCACAAACCCATACAGTACACAATTATTAACCGTATTTTACATTTCACATTCCAATGGTAATCACATGCATACTGTGAGATCTCTTATTGATAATGTGTTGCCCCTGTCATGTCTTGTTTTGGTAGAGGCTGACTAAACAAGTTGGAGAAGGTACAAAATAAAGCCATACGAATAATCCCAAGATTATTCTCATGGCCCACGAAATACTATTCCTGAGATAATGATGATATGATTGAACTTACAGAATATTGTGGGATAGAATTTCAGAGATAAATGAAGCTTCGGCGATTACATTAATAAGAGGCGAGGGAGCTAATGGATTAATCCTCTCACTTCAAAAGATAGAAAGAAATGAATAATGCATGTGAACGCATAATAGGATCCTTATGTTTTAATGCTACAAAGCACGATGTCATTCAAGAATGTATCTTATTGCCAAAGAAACAATTAACACCATCACGAGAGGAACACAACACAGATGCAGTATTTTTCCCTCTATGTTCTCAGACTCTTATCTTCGCTGTGGTTATTTATTTTATTGATAAGTGACATCATCTCTGGAAATTGTATTTTTTTACCATCTTCGTTTACACCGCTTATGGGTGCCGGCTTGGAATCTCTCACATGGGGCTTCATGGGACATAGAGAGGAACCAGCATTGTAGATGCCTCGACAATTGCAGCAAATTGGCAAAAAAAATCGTCTTTGTCAATCCTGATTCTACACTGTTGCGAGTCATGCTTCTTACCACAATACCGACATCTGTGGTCAGACTGACATTTTCAAGCCATATGTCCACCAACGAGAACACTTTGTGTATAATATAGGCTCCTCAATATATTTGCCACTTTCCTGTATCCAAGTCCTTGTACAGATGAACTCCAAACCTTTACTGATATTCTAAAAAAAAAAGATGAGAGTAACCCCAGTCCATAAAAGTGGTGATCTCACTGATGTCAACAATTTCAGACCTATATAAATTCTACTACCCTTGTTTAAAATATCTGAAAAGTTAATCTACAAGCAGCTTTACTCTTATCTAGCTACACAATATACTTAGCTCTTGTCAATATGACTTCAGACCCAAAAAAGCACCAATAATGCACTGATTAGTATGATTAACTTGATACATGCAGCTCGATAAAAATGAGTTCCCTGTTGGGTTATTTGTTGAGCTACGTAAGGCTTTTGACACTCAACCACCATAACCTTTTTCTTAAATTGCATCATTATGGAGTCACAGGTCACTCCCTCCAATACCTTCAGTCTTACCTCAGTGACAGGCTCCAGTATTTATCTGTGAATGATTCCAATTCTCCTACCCTACCCATCAACATTGGTGTTCCACAGGGCAGTATACTTGGCTTTTTCCTCTTTCTCATCTACATTAATGACCTTCCAAATGTCTCTCAACACCTCAAGCCAATTTTATTGGCTGATGACACAACCTTCATTTTCTCCAGTCCTAACTCTCTTATTCTGAATGACATAGTAAACACTGAACTAAATAAAGTTCATCTTTGGCTAACTGCTAACAAACTCAATATTAACACTGACAAAACCTTCTATATTTTGCTACGTAATAAATCCTCAGCTCAAATTAATCTAAGAATTAACAATATCCAAATTAGTAACAAAGTAGATGGTAAATTCCTTGGTGTTCTCATTGATAACAAGCTGGATTTCCAGGGCCACATTCAACATACATATAGAGTTGATCTCACATCCCGGTAGCTTGCTGCGCCAATTGGCTGACCCGCGAAACGCCTAGCTCCTGAAGTAATTTTCAATTCAACGTTAAAACATCTCACGAGTTTCTCTCTCTCTATAATTTAGTTTTCCCATCTTTCATTTTATCAGTTTAGTTCTTTTATTATGCACCAACTACTCCTCCTCTGAACGGTAGTCTAATGCATTCGCTGCTTAATTAATGCATTCCATTTGTTAACTACTCTGACATTGACAAAATTATTTATAATGTCTCTGTGGCTCATTTGGGTACTCAGTTTCCACCTGTATCTTCTTGTTAGTATTCCACCAAAGTTAAATAGTTTGTCTTTGTCCACCCTGTCAATTCCTTTGAGAATTTTGTAGGTGGTGTTCATATCTCCCTTTACTCTTCTGTCTTCCACAGCCCGTAGCTTTTCATCGCAGCTCATTCCTCTCAGTTCTGGGACTAGTCTGGTGGCATACCTCTGAATCGTGGCATATCTCTGAATGTATGTGTTTAGGTTAGTTCATTTATTATGCCCCCTATACCCATCTTATTGTGGAAAGGGTTACAGAGGCACATAATGGGCTCAGGGACTAAACCCCACAATTCATTTAGCTAAACAAGTTACAATCTTGATGTGCTAGCTACAAAATTCAATATACATCGTCACATCATCATTGGGTTTGAGATAAAAAAAATAAATGTTTATTCAGGTAAAGTACATACATACAAGAGGTTTTACAAAAATTGATAGATTTATAGATAGAGCTAGTACATACAATGCCTAAAGCCACTATTACGCAAAGAGTTTTGGGCAGGAAAAACATTAAAGACTAAAACTTAATACTAATTGAGATTAAAGTATAAAATGTGTTGAGAACAAATAAAAAAAAGGGGGAACATGGCAGAAAAAGTAGCACAAATACAATTAGGTCGACAAACAGCGTTGTTTAAAAAAACCAGACATGGGTTGACAATATAAGGGTAAGGTAGGTTACAGGGAATTTATTAGGTAGTGCTTAGTTTTTATCTTAAACTGGTTGAGAGAGGTACAGTCTTTAACATGATTGGGAAGGTCATTCCACATTCTGGGTCCCTTGATTTGTAGAGCATTTCTAGTTTGATTAAGTCGTACTCTTGGAATATCAAAACTGTATTTGTTTCTGGTGTGGTGCTCAAGGGTTCTGTTACAACCTTCAATGAAGCTTTTGAGGTCAGGATTGGCATTACGGTTCAGCGTTTTATATATGTATAATATCGACCACAAGTAGTTTCTAAATTAAGCAACTGACATATGAGGAGAGCTAGTGTCACAACTGATATGTTTGTCCAGGATAAGGTAATATTAGTTTACGACTTTATCATTGTGTTCATTGCTGTCTTCTTTTATGTGCTAGCCATATGCTGTATTGTGCCTGCTAAGTTTGGTTAAACTATCATTCAAGCTGTCATTGCAATCATTCTGAGCTACCTATGTGCTTTAATATACCTACAATTTTTCTCTCATCTTTCATTTTTTTTCATGCTATGTAACTTATCATTTTTATAAATTTTGCAAGTATTTACCTACTTATAAGTTTCTTAGATTAAGGACCTGCCCGAAACGCTGCGCGTACTAGTGGCTTTACAAGAATGTTATTACTATGCTATGTATCCTCACAATCCCAATGTACCTTCTTTTATATATATAAATAAATAAATAAATAAATAGTGTCTTGGAAGACGAGAACAGCAGCGAACAAAAACCAGCGAATATGTATATACGAAAGGGTTCAAGTATACCAACTTGTTAGTGAACGATCTTGTTTCATCGGACACTGCAATAGACAATGTGACCAGAGTCGCCGCGGTGGTCACTAGCAGCCTCTCGCCCTCACTCACAACTGCTCACCAAACACACGTGACTTATATATTTAACGTGCTTATATATTTAAGTTCATGATGGTTTGATGAAGTCATAATTGGTGTTGCAGGTTTAGTAAATCATTGTGGAAGTGGTGCGGGTCTTTCTCTGCTTCCCGCCGCTGCGTGTTAAGGTAATTCTGCGCCTCTTAAGTACAGTATTCACTTTGGTTTATTTGTTTGGGTTTGATATCCAGTTGATCCACGTGGACTGGTAGATGGAGCCACGGCCTCGTGTCTTTGTAAGGTCTGCGTTCGATCCCTGAATGCTCTTAAGTGTTTAAGCAACATTCCTTCTCTTTCCTCTTTGATTTTACCAGAATTTACCAGAGGCCACCATCTCCAGTGTTCTCGCTGGGAGCAGGAAGCCGGCGGCTTGATCAACTTGATACATGCAACTCTTGGCCAAATGTGCACCTTGTAGGTTTGTGTTGACTAACATAAGCCTTTTGGCGTCCTTAACCACAATAACCTTTTATTGTATATATCTATTTATTTGTTATATAATATATATACTGCAATCAAATTAACAGTAAATGGTAAATTACTTAGTGTTCTGAATAAGTTGAATTTCCAGTGGCATATACTAAATATAGAAAAAACATTCATTCACGTTATCTCGCTTATGGTCTCTGTGCCTGGGGTTCTACTACACAAAATTATCGTCAACACCTAATTATATGTAGTACATTGGGTTTGTAAGGATACATAATTTTTTTTTTTTTTTTTTTTTTTTTTTTTTTTTTTTACATTCTTGCAAAGCCACTAGCACGCATAGCATTTCGGGCAGGTCCTTAATGTAACGGATAATAAGTAGGTACATTGTAGCAAAATTTATGTTCAACATAACTGATATAAGTTGATGGCAGTGATTATAATGGTGAAGTTGCATGTCTTGAGATCATCTTGAGATGATTTCGGGGCTTAGCGTCCCCGCGGCCTGGTCCTCGACTAGGCCTTCTTTTTGTTACACATTCCCAGGAAGCAGCCTATGGCAGCTGGCTAACTCCCAGGTACCTATTTACTGCTAGATAACAGTCTTGTCTTAAGCACAAATATTGGGGGGAGTGGGTAGCACGAAGATAGCGAGTTTGAAGCACAAGGTAGGAAACTATGAGAATACTGTAATACTATGTATTACTAAACTAATACTATGGAGTTAGAGGTCACTCCCTTTAATACCTGAAATCTTACCTCAGTGCAACCTATCCTCGGTGAGGAGATCACTCAAGGGAATGGGTTGGGAATGACTACGTAGTGCTTTTATGTACTCTTTATCTATGGTTAGTTTAGGTTAAAGTTGGGTTAGGTTAGCATTTGTTGTTTGGTTATGTTAATATGGTGTATTATTGACAGTATGTGAAGTATGGAGTTTGAAAATTAATTGCCCGAGAATTCCATTTACAGAAAGCCAAATTTTTTAAATAAAATGTTTTCAGCATACTTTTTATATTGTAACCCAACAACTTTTAATATAATAATGTTATAACTTGAGAATATTCTGTTTACAACAAAAGTTCATTTGCCAGTTTACATGTAGACTATTACTGGAACTAATATGCTTTCAGACCATCACAAATATCTAGATAACTATTAAGGTGATTTGAATGGGGGGGGGGGGGGTTCTCATGGTAATGGGTTTGGTGTGAGGACAGTGTTCTCAGTGATGGGCTCCAGTAATGTGTCTGTGAACAATGTTATTTCTCCCACCCTGAAAATTAATATAGGTGTACCACAGGGCTGTATACTTAATCCTCTCCTCTCTCATTTACATCGACCTTTCGAATACCACTCAACACCTGAAGCCAATTCTATATGAGGATGACAACCTTCCTTTTCTCCAATCCTATCCCTCTTGTTCTAAATGACAGTGAATACTGAACCAAAAAAGTCTATCTTTGGCTAACTCGCTCTTAACATTGATAAAACTTTCTATTTTGTTTGGAAATAAATCCACTGATAAATTCCTAACCTAAGAATTAACAATACAGTATTCAAATTAGTAACAGTAAATGGTAAATTACTTGTAAATGATGAATTGAATTTCCAGTGTCATATACTAAATATAGAAAAAAATTCATAACAGTTGCATTCTTTCTAGAATCATATACTATGTACTTTGCCATTGTTACGGCCCTAATGGGACGCAACCGGGTTCTTTTCTGGTGGTATGAAAGTTATGGTATCCGGGCCCCAAGTTAGTAGTGGCTTTCAAGGGGTGAGCTCAGTAATGTAAGTAAAACAAAAGGGGGAGGTACATTAAATAAAACAGGTCATTACTTTACCCATGTATAATTATTTTTCCTATCACCACATATATATATAAAACTCTTAAAAAGAAGTATTACTACACTATATGTACATCAACGTCTCTCTCAGAAGACACTAAACACTAGGCGAAGCTCAATCGATGCAGTCTGTGTTTCCTCATCCGTGGTACTACCCTCAGTAGGTACCAGGAAACAAAGATGAATCTACCCTGGCCACGGGCCAGCCAAACCACAGTTCCGCTAAGTGCCCCATTATGAAGGTCCACAACCACAGTCCAGCCTGTTGCTGGCAGGTACCAATCAGCCTCGCTGTTGGGCCACTTCACTTGCAGATACTAGGGTAGCGAGCCCTAGGTAGGAGTGTTGTGCAACTCTCTGGTTACTCTCCTCTTCAGCACCTTAGTACGGTCTCCAGACACCGGGTACGGCAAATCCCGTCACTGCCACTCCACAGGCAGACAGTAGAACACTTAACAGTTCTCTTCCGGCGGCGGCTCACTGCTTCCTTAAAGCAGACTGGTGTAGAGACCTTGGTTGCCCTGGGTAGATTGAATGTCCTTGTATCACAGCAGCCCTACATCAACTCTGTGAATACAGACACGTCATCAGTACACTGGGACACTACATGGGACCACTAGGAAACGTCACTTACTGGCTTAGACACCTACACCCAACTCCGCCTGCAATAGATGGCGCTGGTTTTCTAAGCACCACCTCGCCAGAGGTCAGCACCAGCTACCTCACGAGCCGACTAGGACAAGAATCTAGCGCCTCTTGCCAGTATATTCCCGATATCACTAGGTGGCATTGTCCATGTTGTGGGGGTTTCGGGAGCGGACTCACAGATGGTGTTGATGTCACTGCTCCGTGCTCTGGCGATGAACTTGGGTTCGTAACAGCCATGCCCTGGTAACACTTTATTACTCTAATCTAACCTTATCTCGCCTATGGTATCTGTTCCTGGGGTTCTACTACCCAAAATTATCTTCAACCTCTAATTACTTAACACATACTGTATCGGCAATTAGATCGGTAAGAAACTTGAGCCCTAGTTTGAGCACTCGACTCTTACTTAAATCATTGAATATATTAAATATTAAGTCACTACACATCCTCTCCACTGAACTATATTGTGCATGTAAAATTCTGAACTGCAGTGAACAGAGTGCTTCCTAGAGAGCTGTAACAGAATCCATTGGCACCACATTAGAAACAAATAACTTTTTGATATTCCAAGTGAGTACCACACATCAAAGACTGGCCTTCTCTCAACCAATTTAAGAGAAACTAAGAACTACTGTACTTAATTAAGTCTATATAACCAGCCTTATTTCCTAAATGTTAACCAATGTATTTGCTGTTATTGAGCATTAACTACTGAACCTGTACTGTTATTGATACCTGCCATGCCAATTTGATATACAAATTGTGTACCATCTGTTTATTCTGAGAAAATTGCTAACTGTTGTTCTGTTGTAACTTTTGCAGTAACGATCATCGCACAATTATCATTGTTCTTTTTCTATTTCTCTACTTCAATTCATTAATGTTTCTGATCTCATATTGTTTCAAATTACCCCATTGTGCTTTTATATTATTCACCTTGTTTTTTTCCAGGTTATGCCCAAATTACTCTGCATTTTAGTGGCTCGTTGCACTAAAAACTTTGCAACATTGTACTTGTTGCAAAGTTTCCAGTTATGTAATAGTCATTTAATTTCTAATTCTAATTTCTCTCCATAAGCTCATAAATGTTACAGTGCTTCATGTATTTTTAAGAATTAGCCAGTTAAGCTTGTATTTTATCTTAATTTTTATGTTTTGCCAAAATGCTCTTGTGTATTAGTTGCTTTAGGCACTGTACATGTTACTACGAATCCTCTACTGTTCATGTATCACTTTATGTACTCTTGCCTAAATAAACATTATCATTATCACCCCATACTCAATCTGAGTAGTTGTTTATTAAGCACCCCATACTCAGTGGTTGTTTATTACACCCCATACTCATTCTGTGTGGTTATTTACTGTGCACATCATACTATGTGTGGTTTATTGTGCACACCATACTCATTCTGTGTGGTTGTTTATTGTGTACACCATACAGTACTCATTTCGTGCGTGGTCACCAGATTTAACCTTGCAACATTTTGCAGATGAACCCCAAGATGATAAAGTCTCCAGACACATTATTCATAGTTTTAAAAGATATCTGTGTAATGATAAAAATATGTACTTGAACAATTTTTATGCACAGTAGCCTAAAGTACAAAGGTCCGAGTACTCCAGTTTGTTCATGTAAAATTTATTATACAAATTACAGAAGATATTTGTCACTATTGATGCCAACATTGCCAGCCTGAGCTATGCCAATCCCAGCTTAGCATAACAATCCTGTTGGATGCCTTTAATGAATTGCTTGTGCAGTATTAAAATTCAACAGGCTGCAGGGGGCACTGACACACATGCACACATGACACTCCTTCTGCTGGAAGTTTAAGGTTGGCATTTCAAAATTAATCCTACTCTTTCAGTTTCCTTACATAACATCATACTTATTGATGTCACAATATTCGATTGTGCTATTGCTGGCTATAGCTGTTTAAAATATCAAAAGTACTCGGAGAAGTAGAGCTTCAAAGTGATGGATAAAACACATCACATCTGAAAGGAGATTTCTATCTTGCAGATAATATTGCAGTTTTTCTGTCTACATAAGGACAAAATTCACACTTGAGGAATGGACAGTGTTAATGAACTGATTCAGTTCCTGGCGCCAGATGAAAAGGAAGAACTCAAGAGTACTGCATGTGAAACAGCTGCTCGTGAGTAAAGCATTCAAGCTACTAAAATTTAACTAAGAGCTTTTTACGCGTATAGGTACTTTTTAATTCAACTATGCTTTAATGGTCTAATTGGGCCTGAACCTGTTGTTTCACCAAAGATTCCGGTCTACTAAATTTTTTGCTTTTTCTTAAATACTTTATTTGAGCAAAGCAAAGATGGCTTCCACTTAAGTCCTGTTTACCTGAAGTCCTGAAGGGAGAGGAAAGTTGTCTGCTTAAGCTGTTCAGTTATTTTTTTCTTTTGTAGTGTCGTCTGTGTGCTCTTTTCTACGTTGGACCACTTTGTGATGACCTCGTTGGACCGCGGTGTGATGACGTGTTGCTCGTTTTCTTGTTTGTTTGGGGGGGGGGGGAAGTTTCTAGTCTTTGGTTTCTGGTTGCAATTTTTATACCAATTGGGATCGGTTTTAGTGCGCCTATTTTTCAATGGTGTTACAATTCGCTGGTATCGCTGGGCTCTTTCTTTCTTCACAGTAAAATATATTCAACCTAATGACTAAGATGTAAGCCTTACTAGGGGAAAATGGGTTGAATAATTACTATGTTTACAGGAGAATCGGTTTACTCACATGAAATGCACTTGAACATTTATACATTGTCACCTCGACTTATGACTGCCCCTACTTAAAAAAAATTTCGGGTTACAACCCCAATTTCGTAGAAAAATGCAAATCGACTTATGACCTTTGGCTTGCGTAGCGATTTTGTTGATACACGTATGGGTCGACCGAGTGCGTGAATCCTGGTGTCACGGGCGACCCCACCACAGTTTACCAGAGCCACCCGCTTAGTGACGATCGCGCATGTAAAGAATTACATTGTGTTTGTGCTTCTTTTGTTCTTTGAACATAAGTAATTATTATATATCATAATAGAGAGAGAGAGAACGGGAGAGAGAGAGAGAACGAGAACGAGAACTCTCTCACTCGCCTTCTTCTTCTTCCTCTTCCAAACATTAACACCTCTCCTTCCCCTCCCCTCCTCACTGTCTTTCATATGCCAACAAGAGTCCAACAATATAATATTAATGTACTGTGTCACTATTTACAGTATGCCGAACTGGGTTAAACACAACTTAGCCTAACAACAGAAACAAATCAGACATATCTTTTACAGATGACCTTCCACCAAGCCCCATTACATACTACTGAAGCCACATTCCTTCATGCACGCCTCCTCCCTCACTCAGAGTTACCAGCATTGTCTACATATGGAAGTAACACACTCCCAATCATATATAATCATAGAATTTCACAATTGTACACAATCTGGAATGATATTAACCCTAATATAAACTTGTCTAAGAAATATAATAGCATTCTCCAAAATACACAAACTGGTAACACGCAATCACCTGACCGACACTCCTCTCCTCTCACGAATGATACGTGTCCTAGATCCGTTCACTCAACAGGCAAGCTCATGATCACTCTTATACAATGAAATACAATATACAATACATGTACAGTACTACCATACACCATAATAAAGCACAATACAACAGCCATACCAATAAATTGTGTATACTGTATATATATATATATATATATATATATATATATATATATATATATATATATAAATATATATAATATATAAATATATTATATATATATTATTTATGTATGGGGGGGGACGAGGGTGATAAAAATTTGCAACACGTCTAAAGCAGCCTAAAGCAGCCGTAATACAGACGGGATACCGAGCACTGTAGGCTAGGGAGCTAGCCGAGCATACAGGGCAAGGTCACTAGGCACAAAATCGGTTCCAATAAATATGTAATGTAAACAAGCCAAATTGTTACCGAAAAATGTGTTATGAAAAATTAAAATTTAGAAAACAAGCCGAATGATCAGTCTGTGAACAAAAGACCGAGAGAATATTACTCAGAAGTACCACAGTCTCATACACAAAACAAGACTGCCCCGGGAATACAAGACTGGGAGACATGACCACCACCCACAATTCCCCACCACACACACAATTAAGGGCCTGGTGGGGATGCTTTAGGCTTGGAACTACAGTATCTAGACGGGTAGTTTCTGGAGTCGCAGAACGGTCTCACTAAAAAAGTTTCATTGCATTCAAAGCTGGATATTTTCATCCATGGGTGTGTGATATTTGTTGCCTTGTGGTACCGGCAACACTTTTTACTTTTTACTTTTTTTTTTTTTACTGGAATAGGGGCTTGGCTCAACATTTTGTACAAATGCAAGTCGTACTTATGCTGAGTATAAATAAAATAGTGAATCAAGTGCATCCTAGCTAAGCTTTATTTTGTCTGCAGATATTCATGTAGCTAATGTGATAAACATCTCAAACACTACCACATATTTAGTAAAGTAATTTTGTTATTTTACAGAGCTAACAGGAACTCCTGAGGGCCTCAATCTTCTGATTGCCAGAGCAGACTTTCTTACAGCTCTTCTACGATTGGTCAGAATCGCAGAAATGAATACCAACAAAAATGGAATGCGTGGACTGGTCAATATATCTGCAGAAGAGGCAGGTGCAAGAGCACTTCTGTCTTTACAAGAAATCCATGTAACTGCAGAAATGGTGGAAGTAAGTTGATGCCATTTGGTCTCTACAAGAGATTTCGTATGACCCACTCATGTTGTCTTTTCCAGTCGCTACATAAATCTGCCCTGTTTAACTTGTAATTTGAACCACTTTGAACCACTTCATCTCTAATTTTATGGTTACTACACAAACCTGTTCCGTTTATCTTGAAGCTTGAGCTACTCCCACTATATTGAAACTTGTTCCATTTTCCTTCGAACTCTATGCACTAACTGTCATTTTTGGCTACTACATAAATTTGTGCAGTTTATCTGCTCTAAAATTAAGTCTGTACCCTGAGGTCCCAGAGTTAAAAGCTCTGTACCCAGAGGGTACAGTCCTTACACCACTGCTTTTTCCTTATTCTCATATCAGATATAGACAAAAATATAAGTCACAGCTTCGTATCATCCTTTGCAGATGTCTCAAAGCTCTCCAAATGTACTCACTAGAAAGATAACAAGAGATATCAAATAATATACACAGGGAAGATACTGGAGGGCTAAGTACCAAATCTACACAGTAAAATAACAACATACTGGAGTGAACGATATGGAAGAAAATGCAAAACAGAACCAGTGAAGAGCAGGGGTGCCATAGGTACAATCAGAGAACATTGTATAAGCATCAGAGGTTCACGGTTGTTCAACATCCTCCTAGCGAGCATAAGAAATATTGCCGGAACAACCGTGGACATCTTCAAGAGAAAACTAGATCATTTTCTCCAAGGAGTGCCGGACCAACCGGGCTGTGGTGGGTATGTGGGCCTGCGGGCCGCTCTAAGTAACAGCCTGGTGGACCAAACTCTCACAACTTTCACATATTTGGCCTCGGGCCAGGTTTGGGGGAGTAGAACTCCCAGAACTGCGGGCCGCTCCAAGCAACAACATCTGTTGAACAAGCTCTTACAGCCCAAGGTTTGGGGAGTAGAACAACTCCCAAAACCCCATCAAGCAAGTAATATTATTTTACCAGGAAATATACCTGGAAATAGGCAACCACAGGAAAACTGCTTAGATTCTGTGATAACTTTTTGCTAAACCAGCAGATAACAGAGCCAACTAGGAACAAAAATATTCTAGATCTGATCTTCAAAAACAATGAAGAAATAAACAGGGACTTTACAATCTCAGATACCACATACTCAGATTGCAAACTCATTGATGTGCAAACTAACATAAGTTTGTGTAATAGGTCTAAAAAAATTGATCAAGTGAGAAGGGTTATTCCATAAATTTAATTTTAATAATAAAAGGATAGATTAGGAAAAATAAAGAGAAAATGTGAGAGATTTTCAATGAGAAACTGTTCTATGTAATAAAAATCCTACAGACTGAATAGCATTACTGGCTGCCAAAGCATATAAAGTCTGTTTGAAATATGTTCTTTTGCAAAAAGCCAGAAAGAGGAGCATCTTAGAAAGAGAATGCAGACGGCACTACAAAAGAAAAAAATAACAAATGTTTAACCCTTAAACTACAAGAAACATCATATTGATGTGCGACACTGAGCTCAGTTTTTTCAATTTCCTGAAACTCTTTCAAACGTTTTGTACATAATCTACTAGGCAAATGCTCCAACTTTGTCTTAATGATACCAGTGTAACTTGGAAAAACAAGAAAATAAAAAATATAAAATTGAATATTGAAAACATCAGATTTTGAAATCGGCTGCAAAAATATAAAATATCACCAACTGTTCATTTGGTATTATTATGCTCTCAGAATAGCATATGATCTCCATTTTCATACTGTATTTAGAATATAGGTTTTCAGTATAGTTTACTGTAAAAAAAAATTGTCAATATGGCATTTGAAATATGCACAAATTTAGACAACAAAAATTTATAACTCCAAATGCTTAGTTTATGAAAAATCAATTCTATAGGGATTGTAGAACAGACAGCTGTACACACTATATGTAAAAATGATGAGAATTGGTCAGAAACTAGATTTTTGGATACTGAAGTAAGTTGAAATTCTAGTTATAGATATAATTGAAGTTACTGACAATGTATAAGGCAGTTCTAATTCATGAATTTACTTGTTTGTTGTAATAAACATTGTTTGGCATTCGTACTCAAATATGTACAAGTTGTAGGTCACTATGTGTTGAAATGAAGTCAAGAAAAATAACCCCCCTAAAGACAGAATACAGTATAGGGATAATTATAATGATTTAGGGGATATATTTAGGGTATACTATATACAAGTAAAAAAAACCCTAATCTGGTCCCTAATCATGAAAACAACCTAAAGAAACAAGGAAAATAGTTTGAATTCTATGAAAAAATCAGTAAAAAAAAATTTAAAGTCCCAAATTCTGAGTGTTGTGACTGATTTATTTATTTACCAATTTAATTCTGTCTTCACATAGGTAGGAGTATGCATTCTCCAGGATGTATAGGTTACATCAAATTCAAATAATAAACAAAGGAAGAAAAAAAAAACATTCCCCTAAAAAAAATATTTTTTTGGACATTGTTGAAAGTAATTGATAATAACATTGGGTAATGTATTAATATGATATATAACAAAATAGAGCATAACATACTTACTCATTATTATTTGTTACAGTATTATGTATTACTCACCAATGCTATAAAGGCACCAGCTGTATATCCACTTTGTGGGAACTTCTTATACTATTCTTCTTTGTGCGTTGGACAGGTGCTTGTACAGTATCTCTTTATTATTGCATTATTCATCAGTTCCAGTTAATAGCTGTTCTCCTTATCAACAAAACTTTCTTTTTTTAAAGATTTGTCTAAAATCAATTTCTGAAAATATTTTGATGAAAGTTTCACGACGCTGAAGCCAGTAAGTTGGAGATTTGTTTAACATTTTTAAGTAACTTTGACATAATTTGAATATTTTTTTAATTATACCCCCCCCTTATGCTGAGCAGTTTAAGGGTTAAACAGGCTTGATTGTCCCTACAGAGAATAATTTAAAGAGGGATATTGAAGAAAGAGAGGAGACTGAAGCAATCATATTAGAATCAAGAAAAACAGTTAGAACAGAAAGCCATAGAAGAGATAAAGAAAAATCTGAAATATTTCTTTACATATGCAAAATCAAAATCCTCTACCAGTATTGGACCTATACTTACCAGGGAAGGTGCATATTCGGAGGAGGACAAAGAAATCGGTGAAATCCTTTAAAAGCAGTATGAGGACATGTTTAGCACCTCAATAAATAGCATGAAAGTGGAAGATCCAGACATCTTCTTTATGCATGATATCCAAACCTCTGAAAATATAACTGATATCAACACAAACTCTGCAGATTTTGAAAGAGAAATTGACAATATGCCCGTGAACTCGGCCCTGGGGGCCAAACTCACGGAATTCAATATTTATTAAGAAATGCAAAGTGCCAGTAGCACAAGGACTCAGTGTAGTGTGGAGGAAGAGCTTGGACATGGGATATATCAGAAGCACTTAAATCTGCAGATGTAACTCCTATACACAAGGGAGCAAGGCATTGGCAAAGAATTACAGACCCGTCACACTAACATCCCATGTAATAAACGTTTTTGAGAGTGATCAGAAGTCAGATCTCTAGTTTTATGGAGACCAATGACCTCCACAACCCATGTCAACATAGATTTATAGCATGACGATCATGTCTTTAGTAGCTACTTGACCACTTTGACAAAATTACTGATGCACGAGAAGAAAAGCGGAATGCAAATGTGGTATTCAAGGACTTGGCAAAGGCATTTGCCAAATATGACTATGGAGTGAAGCCCATAAAATGAGGTCAATAGGAATAACAGGTAAAATAGGGTGATGGATATTCAGTTTTCTGTCAAACAGGATGCAAAAAGTAATGGTAAATCAAGTAAAATAGAGTTCAAGCACATTAGTAAACTGTGTCTCAGGGCACAGTTCTTGCACCACTGCCTTAACCTTGTTCTCATATCAGATACAGTATAGACAAAAATTCAAGTCTGTGTCGTGTCATCCTTTGCAGACTACACAAAAATTAGCATGAAAATTACTTGTTTTGAAGACACTGAAAAATTACAAGTTGACATTGATAAAGTTTTTGGTTGGGCAGCAGAAATTAACATTATGTTTAACAGTGAAAAGTTCCAGTTACTGATGCAAGTTTTGTGCCAGTTTTGCTGTCATCAGCAAAGGATGACAGAGTTTGTATTACAGTATTTGTGTATCTGATACATAGTATTTATGAGAGAGCATAAAGCTGTAATGATAGTGACTTGTAGAACTGATCCAAGCTGGTAAAATCATGTAGCTGCAATTTAATATGCTCCCTAAGTAAATCCTATTATTACTACTGATCATAATTACATTAAAAAGTATTTTCTTTGTCCATTACTGGTTCATAGTTCAATACCGTATATGTATATAGTTATTTTGTATCAGGTAAGCATATGTACAAGGACAAAATTGTTATTGTTAAAGTCAGTGGTTGATACAAACGTGATTTTTCCAGCTAGTTGTGGACAAGGAGTTTCCACATGCAGACTATGCATGTGCTGTACTGGCCAATCTCACAAAGCATGCACATTTGTGTCAGAAAGTATATGACATCATTGCTGCGGGGCCTACCAAGCTAGAGGGCTTAGTCGACATACTTTGCCAGCTGGACTATAACAAGAAGGGTGCCAGTCTTCATCTTTTAGCTTCAGTCATCTCTAATTTTTCACAGTTATCCATTGGAAGAAGGTATGTATTGTGGCCTATGTTTATATGAATAAAAGGAACATCATACACAAGACCTAGCCAAACCCAATTCAACCCAACCTAGTCTAACCTAATCAAGCCTATCACAGCCTAAACTAATTCATCCTAACATAACAATATACCTGTACAGTATATGTTAACAATGGGAAAATGAACGTTGTCAAACTGGTTTGTGTATGATTTGATCATTCTTCATTTATGTACTGTACTTGATACTAATCTGTGTTTATAGTGTACTTGACACAGTTGTCTTTTTAGTAATTGAGGTAAATCATCTCTTGTTGTTCCATAATTTATTTTATTGGGATTCAAGGGGCCAGGTGCACAATTTATCAACGTTCCTCAAAAGCGCTCAAATTTTTTGTGCATAATCTACATGGTGACTGCTCTAACTTTTCCTAATGGATCAATATCATAACATGAACAGGAAAAACAAAAAATAAAATATTTAAAATAGTTGACAATTTCACAATTTTAAATAACTACTGTAGTAGTAAGGAGGGTCCACAAAGTGAATATGCAGCTGGTGCCTTCTAGGATTGGTGATTACCACCTGGATGGCAAAATTTCACACAAATAATAATGATTAATTATGTTGCTGTATTTTATCATATAAATACATTACCCAATGCCAATACTGTATTTCCTATATCCACCAATTTTTTTTGTTTTTTTAGGGGGAATTTTTTTTCTTTCTCATTTGATTTTGTTGTGGCTTCTACATCTTGGAGGATGCATACTCGTCACTAAGTATGTGAAGTTGGAATGAAATTGGTCAACATGTGATTCAGCCACAGGTGGCAGAACTTGACTTGACTTCAACTGTGGGGAGCCCCTACGTAAATGTAAATGTAAAAGTAAAACGTAAATGTAAAACGGAACCGGGCCTATTCTACAAATTCATAAACAACAAATTGCAGGTAAAGGATAATATCCAGAGGTTGAAAATGGGAAACAGATTCACGGAAAATGAAAAGGAAATGTGTGAAACATTAAAAGAAAAGTTTCAAAGTGTGTTTGTACAAAATGAAATCTTCAGAGAACCAGACACAATAAGAATTCCAGAGAACAACATAGAGCGGATAGAGGTGTCTAGAGATGAAGCGGAAAATATGCTAAAGGAGCTCAGTAAGAACAAAGCAGCTGGCCCAGATGGAGTTTCACCATGGGTTCTGAGAGAATGTGCATCTGAGCTCAGCATTCCACTTCACCTGATCTTTCAGGCATCCCTGTGTACAGGAATCGTAGCAGACGTGTAGAAACAGGCTAACATAGTTCCAATCTACAAAAGTGGCAGCAGGGAAGACCCCCTCAATTATAGACCTGTATCATTGACAAGTGTAATAGTGAAAGTATTGGAAAAACTAATCAAAACTAAATGGGTAGAACATCTGGAGAGAAATTATATAATATCAGACAGACAGTATGGTTTTCGATCTGGAAGATCCTGTGTATCGAATTTACTCAGTTTCTATGATCGAGCCACAGAGATATTACAGGAAAGAGATGGTTGGGTTGACTGCATCTATCTGGACCTAAGAAAGGTATTCGACAGAGTTCCACATAAGAGGTTCTGGAAACTGGAAAATATTGGAGGGGTGACAGGTAAGCTTCTAACATGGATGAAAAATTTTCTGACTGATAGAAAAATGAGGGCAGTAATCAGAGGCAATGTATCGGACTGGAGAAATGTCACAAGTGGAGTACCACAGGGTTCAGTTCTTGCACCAGTGATGTTTATTGTCTACATAAATGATCTACCAGTTGGTATACACAATTATATGAACATGTTTGCTGATGATGCTAAGATAATAGGAAGGATAAGAAATTTAGATGATTGTCATGCCCTTCAAGAAGACCTCGACAAAATAAGTATATGGAGCACCACTTGGCAAATGTAATTTAATGTTAATAAATGCCATGTTATGGAATGTGGAATAGGAGAACATAGACCCCACTCAACCTATATATTAGGTGAGAAATCTTTAAAGAATTCTGATCAAGAAAGAGATCTAGGGGTGGTTTTGGATAGAAAACTATCACCTGAGACCCACATTAAGAATATTGTGCAAGGAGCCTATGCTACGCTTTCTAACTTCAGAATTGCTATTAAATACATGGATGAAGATATACTAAAGAAATTGTTCATGACTTTGTTAGGCCAAAGCTAGAATATGCAGCTGTTGTGTGGTGCCCATATCTTAAGAACTACATCAACAAACTGGAAAAGATGCAAAGACATGCTACTAAGTGGCTCCCAGAACTGAAGGGCAAGAGCTATGAGGAGAGGTTAGAGGCATTAAATATGCCAAAACTATAAGACAGAATAAAAAGAGGTGATATGATCACTACATACAAAATAGTAACAGGAATTGATAAAATCGATAGGGAAGATTTCCTGAGACCTGGAGCTTTAAGACCAAGAGGTCATAGATTTAAACTAGCTAAACACAGATGCCAAAGAAATATAAGAAAATTCACTTTCGCAAACAGAATGGTAGACGGTTGGAACAAGTTAGGTGAGAAGGTGGTGGAGGCCAAGACCGTCAGTAGTTTCAAAGCGTTATATGACAAAGAGTGCTGGGAAGACGGAACACCACGAGCGTAGCTCTCATCCTGTAACTACACTTGGGTAATTATACAGAGAGAGAGTGAGAGAGACAGAGGGACCTAGTGGTGGACCACCAAGAACAATATATATATAAGTGGCAACAACACCAAGGACAGACCCTCCACCAGGCAGAAAACAAAAACAATAGAAAAACCCCTGTACGAGTACAATAAACCTAGGTGGAACAGAGCCGACCGCTATATCAGGTGAAGAACCGCTGCACAGTACCTTGCACTGCACCAGTGACTTGCACCAGTGACAAAACCACCTCACTCAGAGGCAAATGAAACACCCCAAGGGTGGGCAACTACTGAGCAGTAAAAGACCTCAGAGGAGGCAACCCCCAAGCAACTTGCGGAAAATAACTCAAGCCACAAGAGCAGTATTTAAAGGGCACCTAGGGAAGGTAACCCTAGGTGCATGCATCCCAAGTACTGATGAAAATTACTCCTGGCTCGCACACCACCACAGGACAGGACCACACCACAAGGCACAGCACTGAGCCAGTGCTGTGCCAGTCTTGAGCCAGAATTGCATGACCACAAGGTCTCACATCAATCGCAGAACCATCGGGTTGGATGGCCGGCACAGGGGTCTGGTGCTCCGCCCTTACCCCCCTCAGTGAGGTGGGGGGGAACTGCACAGACAGTGGCGCAGTGACAGTGGTGACATTATGCGCATTTGTTCGTTTTTTGTTTGGGGGAGTTCTGTCCAACAGTTCTGTATTCATTAGCAATATTTTATCCAGATAGGGTTTGTTTTGGAGTGCTTACCTTTCTGGGTGCCTGACCAGGTCGATGGCAGACATAGAATGCATCCAACCACACAGGGGGTTTCTACAGGCCAATGCTCCTTGTGCCTCTCTGAGGGGGGGAGGCCAGGTTCTAGCTCGTGGTCCTTGATTGGCCTAGAACTCCATTCGCTTGACTGCTACCAGGGGTCTAATACATTCATATCAGCCCAGATAGCTCCAGGGAACCAAAGGGGTCTCCCCCACAGAAAATGACATCAAAGATTCTGCTTCCTGTGGCTAAAGTTGTCAACCAATTTCCTCCAAAATTGGCACCCTTAGTGATAGGAATGTGTTCAGCATGGCGTAGAGGTTCCAGGCAAATCGCCTGATAAAAAAGGAGAAAAATGAAGGAAAAAAACAAACAAAAAGCCAACACATTCACATAATTTTTGTTTACATTTGGCTGCACATTTACTTAATATGTATTCATAAGTATTCATAAATAATATCCTTAAGAATTTGTATACTAGGCAGATGATGGACAAGATTGGATTTGTGTTACAACGACTTATGTCGTTCATGGATTACAAAGAGTCAATCGGAAGGAGAATGGCAGTCATAGCTGCAATTCACAATTGCTGTTTTGAAAAGGGTGAGTTTATTCTCGGCTTTATACAAAATAAAATAGTAACTGCAGAATACACACAAATCACAATAGTGTGATACCTCAAATGAACAAATCCACAAGGGCATTGGGGGAATTGTTGTAAAACCCCGGTTTCTGTCTCTGAGAGGCTGCGGGATCTGTGAGAGAGCAGTAGCACTCCCGGTTGCAATTCTTTTAACCATGTTGTGGCACAATTGACTAAGGCGCATCTGGGATCGCCCTGGACGCGAGTTCGAACCCTCATCACGGCCCTTGTGGATTTGTTCAGTAACTGCAGAGTTTAGATATTAGTAAATTGTGAGACATTGGCCTCAACTGAGAGAGCAGCTCTGGATGAGCCATAAATGGTTAATAAACAATTGACAAGCCAGGGAATTAAATCTTATTTATTGGGTGTGATTTTATGATACACAGAAAGAGAATTAGGGGATGGATTATGGTTTAATGTAATTCACTGAAAAGAAAAAGGTTTATAAACTAGATTCAAGTTGTAGACTAGGTTATATACATGCTTAATAATAAAAATAGTTTCAGAATTTAAAGAGAGAAAGTCCTACTGCTTGGTTGTGCTCATTTCTCATTTCTCATTTTTTATATACAGTACTATATGTTGGTTTTTCTTTAAAGATTGTCATTTCCTCTTTGGTTGACCTCAGCTCTACATTGAGCTTGCTTGCTTGTTATTTATTCATGTCCTCTCATCTCCTTTGTGATCCTATCAAAAGCTTAATTCAAAATTATCTCTAGTTTGGAATCCAATCCAGCATTATCTTTTGGTGCCTGAAAAGCTGAACAAACCGAATCTGGATTAACCAAAATTGCACCATCCAATGTAAATTTGGTACAGGCATCCAAAACAAGATGGTTAATATCTTTCTCATAAAACAATGGGAGATCTGCTGCCAACCACCTGACTCGGTCGTGTGTGTACAAGTCCAAATGAAAGGTGGCCAACTTACCCGAGAGATAAGTAACAGTCTCAGCATGGTACCAGTGACGTATCATTAAGAGCACCAGGTGACAGTCTCTCTTAACCCTGAAGTTAAATAGTAAAATTTGGGTATGGAAAGAGGCAGAGTACATGCAGTAGAAATAAATTTTTTTTAAGAAAAGGATTTGGTGGAAGTGGGATGTGTGTAGCAAGGAGGGATTTATATGCGAGATGGGGTAAAAGTGAAAATTGTGGGGAATGAAGTAGGAGTGGGTTAAGTGCAGTATACATCCGGGGTATGGACATCTTATATAGGTATAAGACCAGTATGTTAGTAAGATGTAAAGTTGTAAAGGGTGATAATAAAGGATCATATAGTAAATATGTTAAAGAATATATGACAGTGATGGCAGGAGTCAGAGTTGACAGTGAAAAGTTTGTTATAGAGCCATCTGTAGAACCCTCTGTTGTTAGAACTTCTGTGCTGAATTAGTTTTGGGTTAAATTAAAATGTTGTATTGTAGCTAGGTACATAGTTTATATAAAAAATATAGCACTTGGCCATTCATTATATCATACACACTCCAGCAGTCAATAGCAGCACCCCCACTGCTTCGTAAGACCAGGTGTAGTACATTGCCGGTTATAAATTTTCTTACCAGGACAAATACATCAACCCCTCCTTGCACATTGGTGCTACACAGACTTGTCCCTTATAATATCCTTTTTGTTGGATATGGATATTGTAGAAGCTTGAGTTACTTGAAGTGTACCTCTTTATACATCTTTAACCTTTATACCTACCTACCTACCTTCTTGAGATGGTTATCTTGAGATGATTTCGGGGCTTTTTAGTGTCCCTGCGGTCCGGTCCTCGACCAGGCCTCCACCCCCAGGAAGCAGCCCGTGACAGCTGACTAACACCCAGGTACCTATTATACTGCTAAGTAATAAGAAGACCTTGTGTCTATCTTGTGGAGGTTCCGGGGATCAACGGCCTGGTCTCCAACCAGCTCTCCCAGTTGGTTATCTGGTCATCCAGGCTGATGGATACGGTTGCTCGCAGCCTGACATATGAATCACAGCCTTGTTGATCAGGTATTCTTTGAAGGTGTTAGTCAAGTTCTTTCTTGAACATTGTGAGAGGCGGGCCAGTTATGCCCCTTATGTGTAGCGGGAGTGTGTTGAAGTCTTGGGCCCATGATGTTGGTAGTTCTCCTTCAGAGTACCTA